TTTGACAACGGGGTCATTATTAGACATGATATTGCTAGAAGGATTCATGGACATTTGCTTCGGCGTCGCCGACGTCCGCATGATATCTGTGATAAGGTTTCTCGACTTGGGAATACTCATGCTATTGTGCTGAGCGTGACGTAGCTGGTGGTAGGAGGACGTGGTAGAGTTTGGGAGAGTGGTAGAGCGCACATGAGCCTGAGGATGGTCACTGGAGATACGATTAGACGCGAACTGAGGTTGAGCCTGGATGGTAGGAGAGTCATGCTGCTGCTGAGAGGAGATCTGTCGACTCCCACTAGAGGACTCGCTATGACCCCGACCAGTTATTCCCATTCGGTTCCCAATGCTAAGAATCTGAGAACGGCTATACGTCAGAGGTACTGAAGGCGGCGATGAAGCTGGACCATCATCCTCCATGACAGCGGGCAAGCCCCCAGGACTATAGGAAGCGTGTTGCGGCTGGCGTAACGAAACGGTAGACGCCTGGGTACGATAACCCCTCACCCCGACGCCAACGTTAAAATCCGCGACAGCAGGATCAGAAATCGCCTCTGGGTGACAGAACCGCTGTCCCTGGGACTGTACATCGCGGTTGGAAGCCCGACGAACGGGATTGTGAACAGCAGTATGGGCTTGTATGATCATTTCCTCTCTGGGAGTGAAGCCTCCTCTGGCCTGAGCCACACCTCCACTACGACGGTATTGGTTGACTGTGTAGCCCAGTTGATTGAGATCGACATCTCCAAGAACCTGGTTGTGAAGTCCAGATAAATGCTGACGTTGTTGAAATCCACCCTGATTGTGTATCGTTTCGTTAGGCCAATCGCCGTAAACCGTACTCATGTCAGCGGTACCGTTAGAGTTGAAGGGAACCCCATCTCCTCGCAGCGATCCCAAAATCGCAGCCATCGCAGGATCGACGGTCTGCGTGTTTTGAAAAAGAGAAACGGGGGGCGGGAGGGAGATGGTTTGATCGTAGGGAGCAGTCTGAGCTAACGTTCGTCTCCCAGACTGGGCGAGGTAGTCATTGCCAGGGCGAGAGGAGGATGTCGCCATATTGGAAGAGAAATCTTGGTACGCTTGATTAGCTGTGGGAGCATCGCCAGACCCTCGACCACCTCCTTGGCGACTACCAATAACTGGGATACTTTGTGCTCGGATCTGGTCTCGCCCACGAAGGTTGAGAAGGGCAGCCTGGGCGATAGTCAATCTGGCAGGTGACGACTCTTCTCCACCACGAACAGAGCGTTCTGTTCTCTAGAAATATAAGTTAGAATTACGTTTTCCCTGAGATAAAGAGAGAGAGATCGAAACGCTGGGAATAATTTAAAAGCAAGCGGAGACAGCGGGTACGAACAAACGAAACGAACAACGCGATTCCGGACATAGCGGATGGGAAAAGGGGAAAGGGAGAGTAAAAAGGGTAGAGGGATAATTCTGTATGATAGGTCTCGACAAAAACGCACCCTCAATTCACGCTGCTCGCCCGTATCCGCAAAGCGTACCGAGATCCGGCTACCAGGGTCATTCCAACCCCGAACCATCCGACCATGGAGACGTTCAACAACTTCTTCCGCCCCAGACCGAGTTTCTAACCTGCGATCGCATGCGATAGATGAGAATACGTTCATGAGATAAGGGAAATTAGAAGATATGCAGATGACGTCGTGGAAATGAAAGGTTCCGAGTCGAAAAAGAGTTGAGATATAGAGGTCAAAGCTGCGAGAAGAAGGAACAATCGAGAACGCCACGGTAACTCACCGTACAAAAGCAATGATCCGAGGAGGATTGGATAATCTTGTCTGGAAGAACCGACTACTCTTGATACGATGAGGGGATACCAGAGCAGCCAAAGACTAATGAAGATGTCAGTTTGATGTACCAACGTAACGCGAAGGGATCATACTTACGGGTTCATCGATACTGAGGGGAAGCCTAGAAGACGCAAAGATAGCGGCAACGGAGGAAAAAAAAATTGGGATAACTTACCCTTCGATATACAAATTTGTACTGGTAGGATCAGCCAACCGCTCCATCTTGGCTTTGAATGTTACAGGCTCGGTGGTAGTCCCGTTGAGGCTAACGTGTGAGCTACCTGTAAGATCGACGGCACCCATGGCGGGTTGAATATCGTCAATGTCTTGCTCCCGGGGCATAAAGGGTATGCCAGGTATCTTGTGGATTTGCTATTGAGACAATGTCGTGAACAAAACAGAACGATCGAACATAGCAACGACCTCGACGTACCTTCGAAAATGTGGGGTGAAGATTTCTGTATTTACGGAGGTCGTTGATGCATTTTTCTGCGGATTCTACCGCTTCGAATCTATCGAGGGACGAGAAAAAAGGTTAGCAGAGGTGAACGGCATCAAAAATACCGCATACATGCGGTGCAAATTAGAACAGGAACCCACAAGACAAAGCCGTAACCACTCTCCTTCTCTCCGACGTGTCTCGTAAAGCTCCTAACGCTTATAATGTCACCGAACGGTGCAGCGAGTTCAAAAAGTTGATCCTCGGGGAAATGAGGGGGTAGACCGTTAATGTACACGTTCGCGGTTTTGCCCTGTGCATCTAATCCGCGGTCTTTTGAGCCCATAGATTCCGATTCAACGAGACCAACGTCAAGATCAGGAGCGATTTGACAAGTAGGGATATGTTCTGCAGCGTTAGGATTCAAAGTGGAGGATAGGGAAGATGAGAGCGTGCCACTGAGGCTGCCGCTTGGAGTGGCGTCCATCGTAGGAGGAGGAAGCTGAATAGTTCCCGATTCAGAGATGACGATTTGACTTTGAGGGGGCAGTGAAGATGGTTGCTGTGAAGCACAAGCAACATGATTTCCTCCAAGCGATCCAGAAGTAGAGACAGAAGTGGGCATTGACGAAGCTGTGTGAAACGAACTCAAGCTTGAAAGGGTGCTGGTAATACTCAGTACGCTAGAAATTGCGGATTTGGAGCTACAGCTATCAGCGATGGGAGCGGCATTTGTACCAGTGGCGCCAATATTATTTTGACCGCCAATGCCATCGTATCTCTGGCTTCCGGAAATCAGAACGGGAGTTACATTGCCCATGGGCGTGTTACTCTGGCTGCCGCCACTTGAGTGCATAGAGCTAACCGTAATGCTGCCATGGCGATGAGCTGGCGAAGCTTCCAGATCCTTCCCAGGCAGAACGCCAGGAATAACCTCTGGAGAGGAGGGAATTGCGCTCCCGTGTTGGGAGTCTTGTCTGAGTCTCTGTCCACTCTGACGATATTGGCGTGGCGATCCCGCCACAAATGTGGGAGGAGAAAACGAAGAGCGAGCCATGGAAGCGCTAGAAGGATCATGATACGAGATCTTCTCAGCAAAAACGTTTTCAGCGATCTCTCCATCCTCGAGGTCAGCATCTATTAATTAGAAAATGTGCGCGTGGGTAAGCTATCAGCGTAAACAGAAAAAAGAAGCTCGTACACGTGCCTTTCGTCGCGTTGGAGCTCAGGGGTGGGGAGGCAATTGGACTGCTAAATCCCAAAGAACGTATTAGAACCTGTGCCTCTGCTACGTCTCCGGAAGAGATTTCCGATCCGAACTCAAAAGAGGCATCACCCATGTCCTGGTCGCGGCGAGTTGCTCGATGTAAGGCCGCCGCGGGGTTAGGACTGACTGAAGAGGAACGATAGCTGGAAGTTGGACGAGAAGAAGGTGAAGAAGGTAAATGTGTCGATATAGCTGCATCTAATCCAGGAGACAAGGAAGTAGCGATATTGTGCTGATGTAGAGACGAAGATAATGGTACAGAAGCTATGTGCAAAGACTGGATTGAAGCTGAAGTAGACGAAGAGGAAGATGGAGGACGAGATACCCCGGTTCGAGGAGAAGTGCAAGAAGCTGGACTATTATTGATACTTGTGCGAGATTTTGGTGAATCTGGAGGAGAAGGAGGCGCTCGAGCCGGGGAAAGTGTGCTGTTGGTGTTACTGCTGACGTTGTTGGCGCTGTTAACGCTGTTGGCCGCGTTGTTGGAAGACATTCTGCTGTACGAGAACTGGAAAAATGTTACAAGGGACGATAGCGATGGGAAAACGTTATGCAAGTCGATAGCAAATACTGGGAGCGGAGAGCTGATGAGCCAAAGCGGCGATTAAAGATAAACAAGGTTTAAGGGAGGAGAATATTGGGAGACGGTGGTGGTAGGAAAGAAAGAGAGGAGACGCGTGAATTCGCGTTGTCTTGGTTTATATGAAGGTCCCTCGATCCCTCCATTGACAGTGTTTAGGTCAGGCTTTCCAATCTTCCTTTTTGGGAAACCGATCCTCGTTCGCCGATATCCGAGGCGAACTTGAGCGAATTTTTGGTCCTTTTTCTCCACCTTCTAGAAGTCCGCGTTTTGGCAGATATTGGCGTTCAACGGAAGCACTAACATGAGCAAAGATAAACAGCCATCGGTACCTGGCTAGACCACTGGAGAGTCAATTTCCCTCGCCGTTTCATTACGGGCAACTCTGGACCTTTGTCGCCGGTTGCTGTGATCTCTGGGCCCTTCTGGCCATAAAAATAAACGGTTATGGAAGATTTTCAAGATATGAAATCCTTTTGGATACACAAACAAAGGCTGATTCCACTTGGGGCTCTTTGACAGCTTGTTTGAGAAGCTTGCTTCTGCGCATCATTAGGTCCGCCCTTACGCCTTTTCATTTTTTCGGACATGAATGCAAGTAATTTGTGATAAGATTTTGAAGGTTATCTGCTGAAGAATGAAAGGGAAAATGGCATCCATAGTTTGAAGTTAGTCTCGGTCGAGGTGATAGTAGCGGTTCAGGTCCATGTTACTAATACTAGCCGAGCAAGTCATGCATCGCCTGTCAAGGCGTTGTCAATTAAATTTCGAAGGAGAACTTCCGGAGGTTCCAACAGATTTTTACAGCTACAGCTTTGTTAGACTGCTCTCAGTGGACAATGGTTCATGGGCAACGAAGCAATAGAAACTGGAAGAAAAGAGAAAAAATCAACATTACGGACGTTCGGGAAATTAAACCCCGGACCTTATAAACACGCAATTCTCTCAGATATGCAAAACGTACGCGTTACCACTCCGCTAAACGCCCCGATCAAGGAGCCTGAAAGAATGACGTACAGAGAGACGGTGAGCAGAAGGATCGCGAAAATTCCTTCGAAGTGTCCAACTTCGTCTGTCGTGAACTGATGTCTGGAAGATCTCGCTGCTGGGTGGGCGGGATCTTCCAACGGTGATTTCGTTCTCTCATAAAGAATCAGTTCATGTAAGTATATATGGTTTCCATTTTACGTGGCTATCGATAAAACGATGCCACTTTACTCAACCTGTTATGACCATGATTCAAGTGGGTAAAGAGGGTGCTTAGTCATCCTCACTCATTCTTCCAGGTTGCTACCCAGAATGAGGGTACCATTCTGGTTACAAGTGTTTCTGAATCCACTTCCCGAGGTTCGTCTGAAAGCGCTAAACGCCGATATTTTAGCTGACACAGGGCTATATCAAGGGTCAAGACGGAAGAACAATAACCTCTCGTTCTAGATCTGGTACTAGACCAATCGAAATAATGGAGAAGTCACAAGATGCGGTCATTGGGGATAAAACTTGACGTCAGTCGCTTAGGGAACCCGCTTTATAACAAGAACAAAGCCAGCTGCTCCCAGATCTCTCAATCGAAGCCCACACCATGTCCTCTAAACCTATCCCGGTCACCAACGAAGCCCTTGGAGAACCTCTCAGCACAAAAAGCACCATACTCGAAACCGGGGCTGCTACAACCCAGGACTTCCAACCAGTCAAAAGCATCTGTGCCCACCTCAACGCTTTCCACGTTTATGCAAATGATACCAGTCGCCACGTCGAAGCGAACCATTACTGTTCTCATCTCAACGAAGGTAAGGGCCTCTGCCTCCCAGAAAACTCCCTGTTGACCATGACTTGTAACGACCGCTATACAGATGTCCGCCAATGCATCCTTTACGACTCTCCAGGCCCGAACGCCCGTCTCATCGGCATCGAATACATGATCAGTCCCAAACTCTACGCCACCCTCCCATCTTCCGAACGAAAATACTGGCACTCCCACGTTTTCGAAGTCAAATCCGGAATGTTAATAATGCCTCAACCTTCCAAACTCGTCCCAAACAGCGCTTGGGAATCCGCAGAAACAAAAGAAATGGAGGTTGTAGTTGAATTATACGGAAAAGTGTATCATATGTGGCAAACTGATCGGGGGGACAAGTTACCTTTGGGAGAGCCACAATTAATGACTAGTTTTACGGATGAATCCCAGTTTGATTTTGAGAAGAATGTGAAGGATAGGGATGCAAGGTTTGGGAGTGACTATATGAGGAAGAGGGAAATTAGGAAGGAAATCAAGGAGCCGGAGATACATCCAGGTGAGTACCTTCCGCTTATTTGATCTTGGCCTGTGCTAAGTGACATCACTCGATATTAGATGCGGATGCGGCGTGGAAGAAATAGGAAGTTAATTAAATGTCCTGTAGTATTTTCGGAATGAATGTTCTTGTTTTCACTGAATGCTCGCTCCCACTATCAACAGTATGCTCAGAATCGGATCGACCAGTTGCCAAACTCGGGTTTATTGAAGCTTTTCGAATGCATGAATATCCTGACAGCCCGACCTTGGAACTTGCACCGATTCCAGTTTGTGCATATGAACGTACGTATATTTGGGTACTCCATCTTCCGACTCTCTCGAAAGATTGTTTTAGAGTACTTCCACCCTCTTGATCCTCATCGATGATGCGGAAATGATTCCTCAAGAATCGCCACATCAATGCAGCTTCGTAGTGTACATTGCAAGTTAAATGACCCTCAAGCACGACTTACAAAGTCAGATAATCGAGCTACGAAAACGAGCTACAAGAGTCCGCGCTGTCCCAGATCAACACATAGACTAGACTGCATGTTCTCTGATCCACCTTCATCAAGACCGATTATGCCGTTTCACACAAAAAACAGAATACAAACCATCATCTACACCTTGGCCGCTGGTATATCAAAGTTGCATCTTAATATCTTGGATGACAACGTACGCATGGGCGAGACTGGATGGTGTATTGACCAATGTTGACGAGATGAGCCGAGTCTTGAGCCCGGACGGTTCCTCATATCCTTCAAGAGATAAATAGGGCCTTCGATGAGCGCCGCGTCGAATCTTATATCGCGACCTCTTGCCGGCCTTTTCCAGTTTTTGGCCTGCATCATAACCAAATGCCAATCAAGAAATGACATCACGACTGTCAGCTTTTTTCGGCCTCTTCAGGCTTTTATAAATACTGAAGCCAGTCCTTGACCTCCATTGTAGCCATATACACTGGGGACAGTTTTGTCATCTACCAACTGTCATCTTGATCAATATCTTGGGTCATACCACACAACCTCTGGTCACATTTTTTGGGGCAGAACAGTGCAAAAGAATCAATAGTATTTCAGTATTTTTGTAGTGAAGTACAGATGTTTTTGTAGTGCAGATCTAAATTAACAAGGACCAAGAATGGGAATGCTATGACCTGCCAGGCCTGCCTACACTGTACAGACCACTGGCCCTTTTACTTTTACCATACCTATCATGAGATGCTTGTACAGTCAGGGCCAAGTGTCAAAAATTTGCCAAGGACCAGTTATTTGATAGATGAAACCTTCAGACCCACTTCAGATTCACTCAATGAGTTTTTGATAGTATAGTATATAGAGTACTGGCCTTTCTCATGAGTCTGTCCAGCTTTGAGTCTTATTTCAGTTATTAGACATAGTACCCTAACCTCTATTAACCTCACTAGAACTTTCTATGTATGTATTTCTTGACAATGGTTTAATATGAACCTCAAACTACCCAACCTCCAAGTAGGTTTGATGTTGAATCAATCCTCAAATTTATAGATGGAATACCAATGAATTCAAGGTCAAGACAGTAGCTCACAGCAACTTGGCAGACCTAGCAAATAGAGTCTCCGTTTGGAACAATATATGGAAACCTGGCAGTACTTCAAGTTTGTGAGGCACTAGGTTCACCAGCAGGCCTTCAGCCTCCCTTTTGGCAGTTGCTCTTTCCATGTCATAATATTGCCCCCTCCCCCCAGAAAGTCATCTTGATTTATTGAGCTATATACTAACTATCCACTACTCATTTTCTTCAAATGTCAGGAGCTGCTATTTGACCAGAAAGATTGTCCTGTGAGTCACTGAATATTCATCAGGGAGAAAAAGTCTGGCTAAACTCTATTACTCAGACTTTGGATACATATTTGAATGGTACTACAGATAAAAGACCTTATCATGTATCTCAAGTTGAAACCTGAATGAGCTTGTTCTGTTCATCAGGGTACTAGTTTCTAAGCTTGTTATGAATAGAAAGCTTGGGCTGGATGACAAATATTTTGGGGAAAATGGGTAAGTGTTTCTAGGGGCTCTTTTCAGGTGAACACACTGGATGAGAAAACAGCAATGGCATACCAGGTGACTACAAGTTGATTGTACCACTTTTTGACACTCTCAGGTGTACTCCTATTGGGTAGTCTCTATACAATGCAAATATAGAACATTATTGACACAGTGTGCTCTTTTGAGTCAGCACATAATGTTGTATGGCCACAAAATTGAACTATGCCCTTGACCTTCTGTGCCAAATGTTTGGAGGTCTGTTCAGTCATCTGAGTCACACAAAAGCTCATAAACAGAAGGTAGAGATAGTGATAATACAGGTTACTTGTTATATACACCAAAGTCAGCACAAGAGTTCACTCCAGTTGTGGCTTTATCATGCAGTGGAAATGATCAGGTATGCTAAAAGAACCATGTACAAAGGTAATGAGCATCCCCAAGTCTATCAGGCTCAAACAGGCATACCTTGTGAGACCATCAGAATAATTGAGATCAGCCAACTTTGTAATTGGCTGCCCCATCATATCTTTGGGTTGGCTAATATGAAACTGTGATAAAATTAATGCCATTGCAGTCCAAAGTGTTGGAATTGCAAAATGCTGTCCAGCACAGATTCTAAGAGGAAAAGGCAGAAAGCTAGAAGACTCAAAAATTTGCAGAAGAAGGGTCAGTCAGGGGTCAAAGTTACCTTCTCCCAAATCCAAAGGGTAGCAGCATTTTGTCATCATTGAGCATTCCAGTGTCAGACAAAAATCTCTCTGGTACAGACAACTCTGGGTCTGGATAAATGCTCTCATCTCTGGTCATGGCCCTGGAAGAAAGTTGAAGTGATGATTAATGACCTCGGTGCATGGTGTATCTTACCAGATGTTACTGGTCACAACAGTACCTATCCATCCCTGATAAATAACTGTGATCAGAAAGAAGAGAGATCTCCCAGTACTTGCCTTTTGGAATGTAATATCCATCAGTTGTGTCATCAACATATGCTGCATGGAAGATGCTGAGAGGAAAAGGCGGTGACCAATGTAGTGTTTCACGTAAAATGGCCTCAATATGCAAAAGTTGGAGACCATTCTTTTCCTACAACAGTCTCTATTTCAAGTTGTGCTCTTTTTTGGCATTCTGGGTGAAGAGCCAGGACAAGACAGAAGTTGAGAAGCACAATTGAGGTCTAATTAAACATAGATAGAATCAGTAATAAAGAACCTAGTCCTTTTTATTGAAACACACAGTCTCTACACCCCCTAAAAAATTTTGTTGGAGGTCACTGTAAGAATCAATCAGGTTGGAAAATTGTGACCAGCTCACCAGCATAAACTGTTGTGACAACATCCCTTATGAGCTCTCCTTGGTATTCATCTCCTCCATTGGTTGCATGATCTTTTAGAAGCATGGCAAGCAAAACAGGTTTCCCTTTGCTTGTCTCCTGTTTGAATGAGTACCAACATTCATCTCCTGCATTAGTGTCTGATATGAAGGCTATCCAAAGATATTACTGCATATTATATCTTTTTTAACAAACTCATATGGTACTGTTCACATCTCATTGAGCTGTTCTCGTGTACTTTGGAGAATATGTTGAAATTTGAATATTGGATAGTCAACCGGAAGATAGCGCAGAAATGGATAGAAGACATTCACCACCATCATTGCAGGGCTTGTAACATCTGAAGCTGTCTTGAT